TGGGAGGGGGGTGGGGAGGACGGGGGGCAATAAGAGCCTCTCAACCCCATGCAGCCATGTCAGTGACTGATGTCCAAGTGTGTCTGTGAGTCAGTGGGCGCCCAGGTGATTTACAGCAGTTCTGCTTTAGTCATCAAGGGCTGCGAAGGAGACCCTCGAGAGAAGGAATTTGTCCAAAAGGAGTGATTATGAAATGGGATATATTTATGATTTAGTGCTCCAAGAGGGTGCACCAGTTGAGCAGTTCACGGATACATTGTGATCGCTGTCAGAAAAAATACTGTCGGAGATAAATTGTTCGCCTAATAGTATAGGAGCCTTTAGTCCATCCATTTTCTGACTTGCTTTATCCTCACAAGGGTCGCGGGGCGTAGTGGAGCCTATCCCAGCAGTCATTGGGCACTAGGTGGGGGACACCCTGAACTGGTTTCCAGCCAATCGCAGGGCACAGTTAGACGAACAACCATACGGGCTCACAATCACACTTAGAAACACCTGCCATGCATGTTTTTGAAATGTGGGAGGAAGCCGGAGTACCCGGAGAAAACCCACGCAGGCACGGGGAGAACAGGCAAACACCACCCAGGAAGGCCGGAGCCGGAATCGAACCTTACACCTCCGCACTGTGAGGCACTTGTGCTAACCACCCTATAGCCTTAAGTCATTTTTTTAAAATCTCCATCTGTTTGCTTAAAATGGTTTTTATCTCTTTAAGTCATTTGAGGTAGTCAACCAGGTCATAGTGAATCTTAAATGATGAATCAAAGCAACTGGATTATCCTTGTTTGTTGAATTTTTTTTCTTGTACTCCAAAAACGACTTTGGCATTTATGCCATTAGCACACGTCTTCTTTCTCAAATGCAAGGGAATTGCAGGAAATGTATCATTAAAACCCATACATTTATTGCTAAAAAATTGCGATGTGCAGTTGAGATAGGAGTGACCCGATTACAAGTTTTGAGATATGTTGCATTTTAACCCTTTGTGGAAGGAATATTTGAACGAGAAAACCCACACAGGCACGGGGAGAACAGGCAAACACCACCCAAACGGTGGAGCAACACATGCACACAGACAAAATGACATTCATTGGCATATTTTCTTTATCCTCTGTGAAAAACGACTAATATTACAGTTCACTGAGTCACTAAGAGTAGTGGTGACTCAAATTCCTTTGCGTCTGTATGGCTGTATCACACTGCAATAAATCATGAAGAATGCATTTTACTCTGTTTATCTGAAGTACGATATTTCAGAGTGCTATCTTCTTTAATTAAAAAACATGAGAACATTTTCAGGTGGGTTTTTGGGAGACACCGCAAGTGATTAATGGCATTTCCTTTCAATTCAATTGCGAAATGTGACGGATGTTTTGTCATAAAAACTTAAATTGTCTGTATTTTAAATTAAATAAAGCCACATCTCAAAGCACCATAGTGGTGGGGGCACAAATGATAAACCTGCGATAAAGGGGTAACAATGTACATATAAAATATCCACTCCTTAAGTTTTTTTTTTTTTACATTGTTTATTATAAATAGTAAATAGTGCTGTATTGTACACAAAAAAGTCTTCAAACAAAATCGTTTTAAGCCAAACGAGAATGATACAAAATGATTTGAGGAGGGGGAGGGGGGAATGACATGAATAATAAACATTGTTTTTAAGACTTACATAAGCACTTGCGAGGATGTAATTACAAAAGACACAGAGCAATTAAGAAAAACTAAATAAATAAGGAACGGATCAAAAATCCTGACGGAAATTCGTTCAATACACGCAAAAGAAAGGAACCGTCAAATGTGTTCACCTGTTGCGAATGTTTTCTTCCATTTTTTTTGGCTTAAATTTTCATCAGTCTGAACAAGTTGCCCTGATTGGTCATGCGCACAACCCAAAATGAATGACTGTTAAAAACAAAACAAACAAAAAAATAACAGGAGCATATGTTGGAGAACACTATCGAGTGCATGTGGTCTGCGCTCGTTTATGAGGTATGAAGGTATTGCACTTTCTTTGGGTTGTCTACTTGTCTCGTTTCACACACATCTGCGGTTCTTCCCCTCCACGGACGTGTTTAAATCGTCTTCAGTGAGAAACCACATCAGGGTAGATTTATATCTTTTCCATCGTGTTCAGCCTGAGGATGAACATCTGGCCTTTTTTTTTTTTTTTTTTTGATGAGGAAAAAGAAAATCCATTCATCCTCGGTCAACTTGGTCCCAGAAAGCAAAAATAAAATGCTTGGTTTAAAAAAAAAAAAAAAAAAAAAAAAAACTCCAAAAAGGTGTTTAGATGAGATGGTGATTCTGTTGACCAATCAACATGTCAGGCTCCACCATTTGTTTTGGGACCCCAAGTATTATTTGAGTATCTCTTACAAAGTTTTGACAATGCACCGCATGGTGGAAATGGGTCTAAAGTCAGCCTTGCAAAAATCAAGTTCAGAATCTTGAAAGTATTAAGAATCCACAAATGCCCCCCCTCCCCACCCCCACCA